GTCTTCTGCACCCTAGGCATATAGCATGACCATCAGCCTACAGAGGGTACTGTGTAAAAGTGAGGCCCAAATACCATTTAATTAAAGCGGAGCAGGTTTGAAAGGCAAGAAGGAAGGCACCTCCAACACTAACCCAGAACGCTGGGAGGACATGCACCAGGGGAGATTTGAACTCACATCTCTCACACTCAAAGGGCACAGTTTAACCATTAGGCCACAGAAGTAACCTTATTAGTTTGTGGCCCAACAACCATTTAATGAAAGTGGAACAGCTTCCACAGGCAAGAAAGAGGCTACACCCACAGTGGAGAACCCAAAGAGCAGGGAACACGCACCAGGCCTGCATTAGAACCTGATCTCAAGTCTTTCTTAGCATCAGCAGAGGGAGAACAGGGGAATTGAACCCACAGCACCCACATCCCATAACTACAGCTTAACCACTGGACTAGGGAAGGAGTGATAGCAGCCCCATTGCCCAAACACTAATTAATTAATGTAGAACACCTTCTATGGGCAAAAAGCAAGGGACCTGCCCATGATTAGGGCACTCACCCGGGCGGTAGATGAGCCCTTTGCAAATTCCTTGTGCTGGGCACGCACTCCAGCCACTGGACCATCCAATTTTGCACAGTCAAAGTCATTGCTCCTTGAGCTAAAAGTTCCATTATAGCTTAAGCAGCAATGACTTTGACTGTGCAAAACTGCACTCTGTTCTAGCCAAATTCACGGGTAATGCTTGCATTAGTGTAAAATCCTCCATCAACCCAGGGAGGCTGTCATTAAAAACACTCAAGGCCAAAAAACACAGGGGGTGAGGAAGGAAGAACCCTGCACAGTTAACAGTCGGAGACGATGATGTTCCAATGACTTGCTCCTCGCATCATCCTTTGCACCTGGGCAAAGTGCGTGCAACTCACTGCCCACTTTGCCCAGGAGTAAAAGACAACACCCGAGGGGGAAGGCAGTGGGGAATCTGGCCCAAATGCACCAAGCTGGAGAACTGACTGTCAGATCCCTGTTACTAAAGCCCCTGCACACGGCTCCAGTAAATAAAACACAGTCCCTTTGTGCAGGAGGGATCAGGACTGCACAGGGCTCCACATTGCTCTGGAAATTCCTCAGCTCCCGGCAGACCTATGGAATTCCCACTGGCCTTTGTTTAACACCGGGCAGCACAGAGTCCAGCGCGACCTCTTTCTCTCCGGTCACACAGCCGTGCTCAGCTCTCTTGCAGACTTCCCCTCTTCTTGCTGTGTAGGCAGGAGGCGAGCAAGCTGCATACATTAACATTTCTTTAATTCTCTCAGTGCTTCTGAAATACACTGAGTCACAACTCAATGGGTTTCAAACCAGGTGAATGGTCAGGCTTATTCAGAAATGCCATTTCTACTTGTTTCCTTAACAGGACGAGTGTCTGGGCCATTCTGGGTGTCAGCAGTGGCTGCGGCTCACTCCATTTTCTGGAACCACTGCAGATCTGCTCCATGCACTTTTTGTGTGCCCAGCACTCACACCGACTAATGAGAATTTCTCTGGACATGCAAATAGGCTTCATCATAATAGACTGGCAGACTAGCCTTTCTAGCTAATATTAACTCTACCTGGTCCCCAGCTAATTGGTGCAGCATTCAAACTATCTGCTACCTCCAGGGTGCATTTTCAGTGGCCACTGCCCTACAGGGCGAATGGACATTGGCTAAAGACCAGGGCTGGGAGTCAGGAGTTCTGGCATTGCCACAGACTCATGGCGAGAAGTTGGATAAAGTTATATGATCCCTCTGTGGTGGAGGGTAGCTTTTTTCCTAAGCTGTTCACTGTGCTAAGCTCCGTGGTATCTCCATGCTCATCTTCCCCATCTGCAGAATAGATACGATACCTAAGAGGGCTATATGAGGCTGCAATAATGGTTGTTAGAGCACTAGAGGATCTCCAAATGGATGAGAAGAACAAAGTGCCATCGAGACAGTCCTGGAGTCTTCACTTTCCAGCTGCCCTGCAGGGAAGAATTTGATCCAATGGATGCTAAGGCTCCAGGATTGCTTTATTAACAAAGCAAAACAGAAACGTTACTGGGTCGCAATCCAAAATAAACATCACTCATTGGGCAAACAGCACCCCACCACCTCCCCAAGATAGCACTGTGATGTTTTCATGGCACCTAAGGTCATTTGGAAGGATGATGTTACAAACAGATGTTAGTAGCATGGGCCCAGTGCCTATTGCAGCTAGTGGAAAGACTCCTATTGATTTCAATGGGCTCTGGATGTGGGCTTGAGTAGGATGTCTAGAGTTGGTGTGGTGTCAACTGCTCACTGGAGGCTGTATTACCCTGCTCTGGGAGCTCATTCAAGACCAGCCACTGAACCGTGCCCCGCAGGCTAAGCAGTTATTATGATTTATCTGTTATAGTCTTGTAACACCTAGGAGCCCCAGTCCTGGAGCAGGACCCCCTGGTGCTAGGCACTGGACAAACACAGAAGAAAAAGCTGGTCCTTGCCCAAAAGTCTATCTTGGGGCATGGGGAGGGAGGCAGGGTTGTCAGCCTGTACCCTCATGAGAAGATCCTAACTGGCTCTTTCCACAGCAACTGAGCAAGGAACACCAGCTGCAGAAACCTAATTGTGAAATTAAAATAGGAAAATCAGGGGATGGGTATTTTTTGTGCCTGGGTGTTAATGATCACATTTTGTTATGCCAGCTCTTTCATGGCTAAAAGCTTCTCTCTTTCTTTTCCACAGGGGGAATTGAGATCCTGGTTGCATTTTCCCTAACACACAAATTCTGTCGGTGCTGGAATGCTGTCTTAGTTACAGGGCTTTTTGGTTTTTTATTTTAATTCAGGCAGATCAGTATGGGGGAGTTGTCTATTAATAGGTGTTCCAGGAAGCTTAAGCAACTGAAGCAGAAGAAAAACTAGAAGAAACTAAAGAGGTTCTGATGGAAGAATGTGCTGAAATCAAATGGGGCTTAATTAGGAGAACATGACTTTCCTATTAATGCTCCCCATCCATGTGACACAGGGAAAGAGAGAGGAAAAAAACTGCCAAAGAGCTTATTTGTTTTGCAATTACGGATGAAATAAAAAATTACTTGGTCTAATTAGACCTCTTTTAGTAAGAGAACCATGCAAAATAAACTCCATTTCATTATCAATTCGAACACAATTCTCTCTTGCGCTTTATATGTTTAAGTGAAAATGTGGAGGGTCAATTTGCTATGTAAATTTCCACAAATTTGGCTAAACTAAAACAATTAACCTAATGTGTATGCAAATTATCTTAATTGATGACTTCTCTTGGTAACTTTAAAGAGAGGGAGGGGGTTGTGGAAATTATTCCAATTGTGACAATTCTCTAAAGCATTTCTTTGTGCAATAAAGAAATTATATCTTGACAAATTAAAGAGAATATAATGAAATCAGATTAATTAATGCCAAGACCAATTAGCACATGCAAAGAGAGAGAGATTTAGGGAATCAAGATTTGCTATTAGATGATTCCAAGAACTCATCAGCCTTCACAAAGTTAGCTATATATATATATATTTCCATTATGCAAACAATTAGCAAACTCCATGCTTACGTTTCATTTGCTTTGGGAATGCACAAAAAGGCCAAATGCTGGAACATGGAGCAAATCTGGAATGAAAAGTAATTTTCCCCATGGAAATGTGGATGGAATCCTCATCCTTCAATTGCTGAGACAGCTGCCTGTCTGAGGCACCCCTATTGCGAGGGAATCCGAGGGTGAGAGTAGTAGACGCCGTCTGCTGCTTCCCTGCATATGTGCATGTTCGGTCCAGTGGATCCAGAAGATAGATGGATTCATTAGCCCGCCTACATTTGCCGATAGCCCATGGTGAACCGTAGCTCTGCTGCCTTTGCCCCCCTGTATAGATTACACAAATTTGAAAACTATTGTTGTGCTTTATAAGCCCCCACAAAATGTGGTCCACAAACAATTGCTCTGCCACTGATCCATCCAGCCCAGCTTCCCATCTGTGGCAATACTCACTACCTGATGTGGAGGAAGATGAAAAGAAAAACACATTGAGTCTGCCCAGCTATTTGATATTATACCATGGTGCGGTGGAGATGTCTTCCTACCCCCTAACAGTTTATATTTTTAAGCATGAGGATCTATGACCCTTGCCATTTTTATCACAGCTCAGGTCATTATTCTTATGCATATGGGTTTCTAGCCCTTTATGGGAACTTGCTAAGATATTTGCCTAATAACATCCTGCTGCAGCTAGTTCCACAAGTTAATTATTCAAAGCATACACAAACATTTATCCCAATAAACTTTCCTAAGAAATGCAATTGAAAGTTGTATTTCTATCACCTGTTTCTGGTGATAACAGAAGCATTACAACACAATGAGAGACTGAATTGGAGGGGAGCTGTTAGTTTAAACATAGATATACTAGTAAAGGAACCAAAGGACCCAAGTCTTTGTTGCCTTGCACCTTGTGAAATTATATACACCAGTGCAAAGTGCCCTGCTCAGGTACATGGCAATGGTGAATGAGGTGCAAGGCTTGATTCTGTATAAATCAGGAGAAAATGCACTGAAGCCAGTAGATTTGCATTGCTGTAAAACCGGGGTGAGTGAGATTATAATCAGATGCCAGAAGTAAGCATCAGGAATGTATATCCAGCACGATCCCCATTCCTTCCTGGCCCCCTTAATGCACTTCTCTTTGTCTGAATTGATCTCCATTAGTTCTTCCTCTGTTCTTCTGATAGCACGTTAAATGAGGGGCCCCGTATGGGCATGTTTTGCTGCAGCCTCAGAAGCGGAGATTCGTTTTCAATATGGTAGAGTTCCAAGCTGAGCTTTATCTCCATAGCCATGGATTGAATTGTTACAGCCTGCAATGTGCTCTTACATTTCATGACATGTCAATCCCGGGCTCGCGCTCTCCCGGGGGGACGTGGTACTGTGCAGCCTCCCGGCGGCTGATTGAAGAGCAGCTTTGATGGACTCTGAAGTGAGTTGTGTTTGGTCTGCTCCACATGGAAGAAGGGCGGTAGCAGTTGCAGGGTCTAGCTGGGGGTGGAGCGGCTGGTGTGGCGAAAAAACTGGGGCAAGATGCAAAGGCCTTTGCCCAACAAGGGGGGGGGCAACAAAAAGATCAAATAAACATCCCTTCTCTAACTTGCAACACAGCCGCCCTTGAAATAGCATCAGCCAGAGGGCGGGGAAGACAAAAATCTGTCCCCGAGCAACAGTGTTACTGTGTGCGATGTTGGGAGCACTTTGTGTTGGCAGACAAGACGACATACTGACTGATGTCCGTGGCAAGGTACAGAGGGGTAAAGCATGGCTGAATTTATGGAGAAAAAGCATTTTCACACAGTAGAAATAAAGGCCCTGGTCCAGCAAAGCATTACGCATGTATTTAAGTATGTGAATGATTCCATTACAGTCCTCAGGACTGCTCCTTTGTCTAAAGATGAACATGAGCTTCAGAGCTTTGCTGGACTGGGGCCAAACTGGACAAACCGCCTTGACCCTGTGCTCCGGGGGTCTGACTTTCACGGTCTCTCTGCAACTACTGCGTACCCCAGGTCTCTCTTGGAGAACATTAATTACTTTCACACTGACAGCGATGACTAAAATTTCTCTCGACCACCACTATAAAATGCACATGATGCAATGAAAATACGGTAATTACCAGCAACACTGCATGTAATATCCTTCTTGTGTCGTTTCTCTCTTGTTGGTAATAAAGCTACATAACGAATTAACTGTAAGGGAGGGCCCGTTTATTTACCTTGTAATTAGACTGTGCTGGGAAATGCTTAATATAAAATGTCACAGGGAAGGGCATAAATTACTAATTGTCGAATATAACACGGTCTCAGCACAGCACGCCGGCTCCTTCCAGCAATACGTTCTGATTCTTTTGGAGGTGGGCTATAGCATTCAGCTTTCCAGGGGGGAATGGGAGTTTGGTGACTCCCCTTTAACAGCCAGCAGGGTCATGATGCCTGGTCTATCCATGTTCGTTTCTTATCGGGTCTCCATTATGGTAGTGCCTGAGCCCCTCATAATCTAGACTGTATTTAGCCTCACAGCCCCCTGGGGAGGCAGGGAGCGGCTATTATTCCCATTGCACAGACTGCAAACTGAGGCTCAGAGATACAAAGTGACTTGATCTAGGTCTTGCTGGGAGTCTGTGACAGAGCAGCAAATTGAAACCAGGCCTCCTGAGTCCCAAGCTATTACGCTAACCCCTGGGCCTTCCTTCCTCTCTACTTCTGTTGGACAGGAAGGAAGAGGCCTCCAGCAGACAGTCACACAATATGAGGCTTAGCCTCCAGTCACCCAGTGGCTCATAGTTGCTCCTTCACAGCTCCCCGCCCCTTCCTGTGTGAGTAAGGGATGGTGACAACAACCAGCTACCGCCATCTCCTTCCACACCCTCAACAGGCTGGTCTGCTGTTGCAAGGTATAACGCTGTTGCATCAGCTGCAGGCCTGAGGTGTGTTGCAGCCCTGGGCAGAATGCCAGGAAGCAGGAGGGGTGTGAGGTCCCAATGGAAGACACATTAGACTTGAATGAATTGCCAACACAGTAGCTTCTACAACTGTACTTGAGCAAAAACATAAGATGCATGAGTATTGTTCTTGGGTTTAATCTGTGGAACTGGCAGCCACTGGATATTGTTGAAGCAAATAGCCTGGAAGGATTCTAAAGGACCAGAAGCTTTTATACCTATGAGAGCAGCATTAGGTGACGTTAAAAACACAACCCTTCGATCCCCTCTTTACACTCTTTGCACCCGAAACACAACATCACATGAGTGGGTCTCAGTCCTGCAACATCTTGCGGGGGATGGTTTTGGGGGGTTCTGTTCTGGTTTGTTTACTCTCAGAGCTGTGTGACAGTCCTCGCTTGGCATTTGCTTGGGAAGTGTGGCCTAGTGGTGGGTTTTTGGTAGGGGAGCCTGGGTCCTCTCACTCCACCGGGCTCTGGTCCAGGGCCCTTTCAGCTACCAGTGGTCTGGCAACCGAGGCTAAGGCTGCCCGTCCTGGGACACTTCCTCTCATCCCTCCCCACGCTGGGATCAGTCTTTCCCCTACTGGGGGAGTCCAAATCAAGACAATAAGAGGGGATTACCAATGTCCAGGGTCCACAGGCAGGGGAGGGGGGATACTTCCCTCTCTGATTGTTTCTGGGGTGGGTCCTCCTTCCCTCAGGAAGGGCCCTTTGGGGCAGTTGTGTCAGAGACTTCACCCTTCCCTCTGTGCTGCACTGCTGGATCTGTGGGTTGCAGGTCTGTTCTCTTCCAGATCTGTCCCCAAATGAGCTGTCTCCCCTGTCTGTTAATTCCTCCACCAGATGGAGCATTTGCTGCAGGTGTGGTGGCGCGGGGCTGGCTCGGCTCAAAATAATCCCTTAACCCCCTTGTTGCCCAGTGTACACCCCCCCACAAGCTGCTATACTGTGTCAAAGCATGGTCCATGTTGCCCAGTATCTGGTCTTCAGCAGTGGGCCATACCAGAGCTTCTGGGGGAGTGTACACAATAGGGCAATTATGGAATGACCCACCCATCTTCCACAGATCCTAGTACGGATCCTTGGAGGACCCTGCTATTTACTTTTCTCCACTGTGAAAACTGACATTTATTTCTATGCTTTGTTTCCTGTCTTTCAACCACTTACTGATCCATGAGTGAACCTTCCTTCTTATCCCATAGCTATTTAATTTCCTTAAGAGCCTTTGGTGAGGGATCTTCTCAAAGACATTCTCAAAATCCAAGTACACTATACTGACTGGGAGCGTCCTGAGTGGATGATGCAGTTTCTTAGTATATTCTTCAGTGGGATCTGAGGAAAGTGGCCTGTAGAATTTGGTATTGGAGAGTTGTCTGGCAGCCTCCTTCTGGTAGTCAGACCTGTTCCTGATGACAACAGCACCTCCTTTATCAGCCTCTTTGATTATAAAGTCAGGGTTGTTTCTGAGGCTGTGGATGGCATTGCATTCTGCATGGCTTAGGTTATAAGGCAAGCGATGTTGTTTTTCCACAATTTCTGCCTGTGCATGTCAGCGGAAGCATTCTATGTACAGGTCCAGACTGTCATTTCGACCCTCAGGAGGAGTCCATGTGGAGTTCTTCTTCTTGTGTTGTTGGTGGGAGGGTATCTGTGTATCAGTGCACATGCGTCTGACGAAATGGGCATTCACCCATGAAAGCTTATGTTATCTATTAGTCTTTAAGGTGCCACAGGACACTTCGTTGCTTTTTACAGATCCAGACTAACATGGCTACCCCTCTGATATATTGTCTGGATCACCCTTGTGCACATGCTTGTTGACTCCCTCAAAGAATTCTAACAGATCGGTGAGGCATGATTTCCCTTCATAAATTCCATGTTGACACTTCCCCAACAACTCATGTTTGTGTGTCTAATAGCTCTGTCCTTTACTATAGTTTCTATGAATTTGCCTAGTACTGAAGTTAGGCTCGCTGGCTCATAATTGCCAGGATCTCCTTTGGAGCCCTTTTTAAAAATCAGTGTTACATTTAGCTACCTTCCAGTCCTCTGGTACAGAGTTGCCTCTTCTCTTAGGAACCTGCAAGTTTGGTCAGGTAAATTCCAGACACCATTAGCTGCTTGTTACTGTGGGCAACAAAGAATGGAGATGAGAA